AAATTCAAAAAAGTTCACAAATAATGATTATGACAATTGTCACTTACTTTTCTATGGTAAATCTTCACTGAAATTTTATTTTAACATCTTTACAATATAAATTTTTACCTATTTACTTTAAAAAAATTCAAAAATAACGATTATGACAATTGTCACTCTTCTATGATACATCTTCACTGAAATTTTATTTTAACACTTTTACAATAAATATATTTTTACCTATTTACTTTTCAAAAATAACGATTATGACAATTAATATTTTTCTATGATGGTACATCTTCACTGAAATTTTATTTTTACATCTTTACAACATATATTTTTACCTAAAAAATTTAAAAAATGTTCAAAAATAACGATTATGTTATGTTTAATGACATAATTTAGTCGACGTTATTAGTTCTTTTAGTCGACGTTATTAGTTCTTTTAGTCGACTGAATTAGTTCTTTAAGTCAACTTAATTATTTCTTTTAGGCGACTTGTCGACTATATTAGTCGTTTTAGTCGACTAAATTAGTCGACTAATAGACTAATTTAGTTGCTAAAGTTTTTAGTCGAATTTTTCGACTAAAACTATTAGTTAGTCGTGTGTTAGTCGACTAAATTTAGTCGATTAACAACACTAGCTAAAGACCATCTTAAGGATTAATGGCATATGCAAAACTCCATTATTTACAATATATAGGAGGCTACGACAATACTAATTGGTTGTAGTGATAATAATGATAATGAGAGCACTTGAAATTTTATTTTTAGAAAAAGAAAATCACATTATCATCAGATAGAAAGGAGGATCAAAAAATGCCTATTGCATCTTTAATAGAAAGGTTCTCAGAAGTTAAAATAATAAATAAAGATACAAATATTTTAAAATTCTGGGAAGAAAATTCTTCAATATATCCAAAATTATATATCTTATCTAGAATCGTCATGGCTGTACCGATGTAACGTTTTAAAAATACTCCATTTTTTTATATACTCCTAGCTTATTTGTGGAGTATTTTCAGATTATATTGTTCGATTATAATGTATTTACATATCAGAGTATATTTAGATCAATGTAATTTTTATGATATTTTATTGAAAAAATGTTCATTTCAATCAAGAAACATTATTTTTGAAAAATATTTTTGTCAATCAAGAAACATTATTTTTAGCTACTACAATTTAAAGATTTACATCCTGAAAGTAAGGCTGCATTCATAGTGGAGACGGATCTGATTTTTACATCCGTTCCGTCAAAAGTCAATCTCATTAAAAATGATATATATGTTCATAGTGCGTCCGTTCCGATACCTTCCGTCTTAAAAACGGATCCGGCAAATTTTGAAGTCAAAACATTTTGACTTTTTGATCCGGCAAATCTTATAGAGCGTTATAACGTTACTTACAATTTTTTTTATAGTCTATGAACATTTATATCATTTTTAATGAGTTTGACTTTTGACGGAACGGATGTAAAAACGGATCCGTCTCCACTATGAATGCAGCCTAATATATTTTCATTAGTCACATTTTTATTTTTAGATTCCCAACCCATTATTTCATCATTAAAAGATACACAAGTGTTTTAAATAACTCTTAATTGCCAAACTACATTTATATTTATGTCGATGAGTATAACTACTGCAATGTAAAGATTTACATCATGAAAGTAATATATTTTCATTAATCACATTTTTATTCACTATACACAAAAATAAAATTGTAAAACCTTTCACTGCATAACCATATTTTATATCTGAAATTAAGTCATATCAAATTCGGTATCTTTATTTTAAACAGCGAAATTCTTAGGGATAATAATTTTGTGACATGTCCTAGTTTTATTGTAATTTTTATAATATGAAAACATTTTTTTTATCTAAAATGTCAATCAAGAAGATTGGAATTATAGATTGAAAAAAGATTTTATCATTATTAATTTTTTCCATGAAATTTTCTTAAAAAATATTTTTTTATGATTTGGATTTTAAAAAAATAAAAGTTTGAATTTTAAAGACTCCAAATATTATTAAGATTTGTTCATTAAGACTTTTTATTAAAGATTTAAAATATTATTAAGATCTTTTTATCAAGTTTTTTTTATTCTATATATATTGTTTTATAATTAGGTATTTTAACATTACATTATGCAATTATAACCATATTAACCAAATTGAAATATTCACAAGAAGTTAAATAATATATACTTAATTTCTTTTTCTCTTTTAGGTTATTTTGCAATTGATATGAAAACATTAATCTAAATATCGATAGTAGATTTTAAACTTAAAATCAGCAACCTCCCACCCTTAAACTAATTAAATTATCTTGTAATTCTCGGGTATAGGGTTTTGTTTTGTCCAACTTCTTTTGTTATTAGCCTATAGACGTTTAAATAACAGTTTTCGAACTGTTGTGCGTACAAGTACGTGCGGCTTGCCCACAAACGTGTGAAGGGCTACTCATTGATCGCATAATTAATTTTAATTAACATTTATATTGCATATATTATTTATATCGCATATAGCATATATTATTTATATCGCATATATTATTAATTGATTTTTTTGATCTTTATATTTACAAATTAAATAAAGGATTTTAATAAATTATTCTGAAAATTGTTTCTAACTTTGAGCAGTAACGTGATAATAGATAGTGCAAGATTTATATGTTAATCTTTGATATTTTCGAATTAAACCTTAAATAAATATATAAATTTTTAACAGTTAATATTAAATCTAAAGATTATAAGGCAAAATTACCTTAAATATCATAGGATATAGAAAAAATAATACTTATTATTCATACGTCAGTTATAAATGCCAATATCACTAAATTTATTATATTTAATATTTATATATCAGTCATAAACGTCAATATCACTAAAAAATATAATATTTAATATAAGCACGTCAGTCATAAATGTCAATATCACTAAATATTGGAGTATATTTTGATCAGAGTATTTTTAAAACATTACACCGACGACACAAGTACAATAATTTATGTATTAAAAATAACTATCTATTTTAGGTAAGGGTAGAACGTGAATTTTCATCTTTGAAATATATATATTGTCTAATTAAGGTGGAAATCTTAAGGATGATATTTTAGAAGATATTATGATTGTGCGATTGAATAAAACATTTAAAATATAAATTATTTCATTTGTAAATTATGAATGTGTATATATTTAACAGGGACTCGAACCGTTATTTATAACGGTTCAGTTTGGTTACGGTTCAGTATGTAAAAAATTATAGTGGTTACGTTTTGGTTACGGTTCTTAAGAAGAAATTTTTAAAGGTTCGGTTCTGCTAATTATAAAGGTTTATAAAGGTTCATTACGGTAATTTTTTTTTTATTGAAGCAACACTATCTTTTAATTTATTTTTATTATAAGCATTTATTAATTCTATATAAAAAAAATATATAAGATTCAAAATAACTCATTTTTAAATATTTTATTTGAACGTATAAGTAATATATTTTCTAATATAAATGGATTCCTTTTTGTTCGTTGTGACGATAACACAAATTTTAGCCCCGAAAAAGCCCTTTCTGCAGAAACTTGTGATGCGGGAACCCGGGAACCGCCAGTACTATAAGAGCAAGTTTATATAATTCTGGATATTCAACTCATTTCCATTTCTAAAATATAAAAACTGAACCGGTTTGAACCGGTTTAACCGTTATTTATAAAGGTTCTTTTTACTCCTTCAAAAAATTATTATATCGGCTCGGTTACGGTTATGGTTCAGATATTTATAACGGTTTATAATGGACGGTTCGTTACGGTTCACTCCGGATCCCTAATATTTAAGTATAATAATAAATGAATGAAAAAAAATCTTATTTTGAGTCATTATTTTTATGTTCCCTGAACTCGGACCCGAACCCGGGTCCTTTTTAAATTTTATTCCTGTACCCGAACCCTTTTTTTTGTCGAAGGGTTCACATCCCTGTATTTAAGCATTGGGACATTTTACGCTAAATTTTTTGATAAATTTTGTGGACAATTATTTCGACGGTAAGTTAAATTAATTTCAGATTTTGTGCACAGCACCAAAAACTATATTGACTAACGTTTTAGAAGATGCATTATCTGAAAAAAATTGCTTTCATAAAAATCTATTGTAAATTCCCTTTATATTTCTATTTAATGAATTAAAAGAAAACCATATATCGATCATAATAGTCATTTAAATGATATCGTGTTAAATTTTATTATATTATTTTGTGTATTCTATTGAAAATATATTTAAAAAAAATTTTTTTTCACCCAAAACGAATTCAAACCTTTTTGAAAACTTTACACTCTTATTTTCCCGGAAGAGGGGGGGGGGGTAACAGACGAATATAAATATAGCTTTTTTAAGGTCAATAATATTGTATCAAAAATTTAAGGAATTAATTTAAATTAATGTAACCGAACTCTTTGACTTTGCCTTGACTCTATAAATGATAAATAATTCATTATAGAATTTCTTATAAATAATGGGTCTTAATCACTATTTCATTTATCTTGGGGGGGGGGGTATTCATTTTCGAATTACAATATATATTATTTCGTATTTTAATATTTAAAACAAATAATAATATATTTTTAAATTATCAAAATTTTCAAATTTAAAAATAGAGTTAGGTCCAAAAATTAAAAAACAAATTAAGCTAAAATAATTAAACTAAAACAATTTTTTGCTCTAAAAATTTTCTGATTTTTTCTACGAATTATAAATTCCTAATTGTAACTTTTTATTGCTATTTGACAATCAATAATTATTTATTTGTATTTGAACGAATCTAATAATTCTATTCCATGAATTTTATTTCCATTGTTTAAAAAATAATTTTGGTTTTACACTTTAGAATGAAAAAAATACAATTGTACTTATTTCAAATTTGTCAAGGGAGGGTTTCACTGTTCCCTCCTTGGCTAAATAAGAAACAACAAATTCAAAATGGCCAAAATTTAAAAAATAACTTTATAAAGGAAATATTATTATTCGGAAAATATTCAAATATTTTTTCTTACTGTGCGACTAATATCCATGATTATTAGATAAAATTAATACAAATTAGAGTTCTGTATATACCGGCCAGCGGGCCTGGTAAGAGTTTTTAAAAATTATTATAATATTTATGAGAGGGGTGGAGGGGGGAAGTTAAGATTCCTCTGCCCAAGAGACCAATTTTTTGTGAAATTTAGCAAGCTGAAAGATGGTGTAAAAGGTAAAGTATTTGGAAAAATATATAAAACAATTTCTAATCAAATATTTAAAAAAAGGATGTAATAAAATAATAATTTTTTTAGACTCCGCCAAATTCGTCTCAATGTTTTGCAATTATTTTTTGGTATGAGACAATCTTTTAGAAAAGGTAAGTGAAGACCTGAGTCTGACATCCCTGTTTTTGTAAAAATCGTTGAAATCGAGCCGGAAACTCAGGTAAAACAGATGCATGTAGTCCTCGTTGATAACGCAAGTGGATAAATCTTGATTATCCGGTGGTTCAGATTTGTTATCGACCAGCGAAGCATGATGCGAATGGGATTGGGACAGAGAAATCCCAGGTTTGTCCACAAGCATGAAAAGAAAATCTTTCATGAGATCCTTTAAAAAAATATGGTAATTTTATTTGATATTATCATTTTGAAAAAATGCATATCCCCGAAAAATCAATCCTTCGTGGCTTTTATCAGGCCCCCTTATTATATTTTCCAGCGAGCCTGGGTTTTAAAAAAATTTAATGAGCTTGGGAATAAAAAAATTTCATTTAAATTTAGCTTATTTTAAGGATATTCCAATTAATTTCATTAGTAATATTTATCCATAACCATATTCTACTGTTGGTATTTGTTCAAAAAAATTGCTACTTTTAAAAATAATTTTTTTCTATATTTCAGCATTGCACAAAAAATGATAGCCTAAATATATTGAAATATTATTTATTTTCATTGAATACAAAATAAATTCAATTCTTGGATATTAAGACCAGCACAAAAGAATTTTAGAAAAAAGAATAATAAATTTGTAAATATAAATATTTAAAAAAAAACCTTTAACAGAAAAATTAGAGAAAAAAATTAATCCATAGTTAAAATTTCGAAGTTAAATAATCAATTTCCCAGCAAAATTGTTATAAACCTGAAAAGATATTTTGAGCAAATGAATTTTATCCCTATAAAGCTGGACTCTTTCGATAAATGTGACCAACGGAGTTGCATTATTGCTGGTTTTGTTCCGAGCTTTTTTTTCCGATTTATTTAAAAAAATATATTATATTTTTATAAGAGGTTTTTAATCTAAATTTAATTATTTAAAGGTTATGCCTAAATTTTTTTTGTTTTTGTTTTTATGCATTAAGATATAACTCTCCTAAAATTGATCACAGTTTTCAATTATTTTAAACTCTTATTTTTACAAAATAAACTAACATAACCTCATTCTATTTTTCATAAGTTTAGGTGAATAAATAAAATTATTAAAATTATTGAAAAAATAAAATTTTCTGACCTTTGTTGATTTGAGTATAACCAGAGCTTGTTTGGAAAAAACAGGATTTTTTATCGTTCTTAGACGGATACATGCTTTCGAAAGGGGTCGAGGTAAAATTTATTAAGTTGTTGGAAGAATTGTCAACGGTGTCGGTACTGTAGATAGGTGAAAATATAGCGACCTTTCATCGTTTAAAAAATAAATAAAAGGAATTAGAGACATGCTTGGGAGCCAATATGAAAAATGGAAAGGGCAAGGTTTTAGAAAATTTTAATTTATTATGTAATTACAAATATAATTATGATGGCCATTCACAAATGTTTGTTTTTCTTTCTTTAATTCCCGTTTGTTTCACTTACCAATATAAAAATTAAAAAATGATTTCAATAAGTAAATGTAGAGAATGAAAACCAGGTGTACCAACATAGTTATTAAATGTAAACATTCAATGATAAACACAAATGATTCTACTATAAATGAATTGTAACAAAATTGCCATATTTTTTTAACATCATCTGCAGGATATCGATGTTTCAATTTTTGGCAATAGGATCAAACTTCCGTATCTTTTTTGCCAGCCAAAAAATTTTGATGTTCCAGCTACTGCATACTAGGTAAATTGATTTCAAGATGAGCATCCTTATGTCCCGCAAATTTGAATATAATTATTTTTATAAATCGATAACTATCTTCAAAGATCATAAAATTGAAGATTTTTTAAAGATCAATTTTTTTTTTAAATTATTTGAAGAGCATTTTAAACTTTGATCCTTATTATTTATGGGTTCATTCTGCTCTAAAAACACTGGGTAAAAAATTATAAAACACATCATTTAATTTTTAAATATTCGAGAAAAAAAATATAATATATAACAAACTTTTTTCATGTTATTCCTATCTTGGGATATATGAAAAGCTAGACCCTTCGCCGACAATGGTAATGCTATGAGGGTGTGGATAGAAGCATGAAGCGTTAGGAATTGAAACACCAAATCGTACAGGCCTAAGAGATGAGCGTATAAGAGCTTGATTTATATATATATTTATAAAATGGATTAAGTGAATACTAAATATAATCAACCTATCTCCAGATGGCTGAAATACTCCCGTAAATCTAAATAAAGTGCTGATTACAGTATAAAACCCGATCATAATATTTTTCGCGCTTTTTACGCTTTGATTTAGAAAATTATATAATTTTAAAGATGTTTTTTTATTTAAGTTTTATGCCTCTAGCTTTTAACTGAAGCCATGAGAAATCTTATAAGAATAGCAAAGTCGCGCGAAAATTATACAATACTACAAAAATATAAAATTTGTTTATAATTTTACATCAAATTTTTTCAAAATCTACATTATAATTTTAATGTAGCAAGTAGCTTAAAATATAAAATAGAGCCATCAAAGATAGATATGAAAGAGAATTTTGAAGGTGACAACAACAAAATTTTCCTTAAAAAATAATTGATAAATTTCCTTTTCTACAAACTTAGAAAATATTTTAAACTAAATAAAAAATAATAATAATAATACAATTTAAATATAGATGCATAAAATGTAGGATAATATCGTCCAATAAATCAGATGGACAAGATGCCGTCACAGTGATGTTATATTTTGGTTTGATAAATAAATTATAAATTAACTCATTGATTCATATCCGTCTGAGACATATTTTCAAAAACCATTTCTATGTCATTATCATTTGAACCCATATAAAATTTCGTGTGTCTTCTCATTTTCTCTACTAAACATTGCATTTTTTTGTAATTTCATAATATGGGCCTTTTGTTATGTCCTTTCCTTATAACATTTACAAATAGCATTATTTATTTCTTCCTAATAACATCCTGCAGTACAAAAATGTCCTATAAGTTATAACATAATAAATCTTAAATTTAATCTAATTAATGAATTTTAAAAATAGATTAACTTTACTTTTATTTATATAATATTTTGTTATAAACATTGCCATAAATTAGTTTTCGATTTTTTTAAAATTAATGGATGAACAATTATACCCTGAGGAATTTTAAATCGGGCTAATTCTTTAGGATACCCGGTTGGAAATATCAATAGCAATAATTTTAGTTTAAAAAATTTGATTTTATTTGAATCAAGGAATTCCACAACAGAATTCAAATATTGGCCAACATACTTTCTTAAAAAAATACAGATATCGATAATTAGAATAACTTAAAAAAATTTCTATAGAAATATATGTTAGTGGCAATGTATTATATTTCAAACTTTAAATGATTTTTGGAGCGTGTTTTTTTATATCTAATCATTTGATTTTACCGGAAATGTATTCCATCATGTTTGGAATACGTACCCTATGAATTTCAGACTATTTTGTCATGAATTTTTGAACTTAATATAATTTATATTAGTTTTTTCATAGATTTTTTTAATATAAATTATAAATTATTCAAAATTATTTACAATTCATAAGATAGTTATTCTAAACAAGCTGGGATGTATTTCTAGTAAAAACAGATAAGTTGAATAACACATAGCCGCCAACATATATCGTATGCATATATTATTGGCTCTGTATTTTTTTAAAAAAAGAAATAGTAACATGATTTATCAATATATAATAAGTCCGTAATTCTTGAATTGGAATGTGAGCTATTTTTATTTGATTTAAACGAAAAAAAAATTGATTTTTTTAAATATCATTGCCGAGATATCTAAGCAGAATAAATTAGGGAATCAAACGTACGATTTTAGCGTTTCACTGTCGGTTGAGGGAACTTCAGGAAAGAAGCTACTGGTTTTTAAGGATGATAGTTAAAAAATAAATTAAATATCTGAAATTTTGTATCTTAGACAATAATATTTCTAGAAATTTGCAGATCCAATAGAATTTTTATTCGTGGATCTATGCCAACCACTTTTTTACCTCCACAATATATTTTTGGGTCATTTTATAGATTTTTAATTATTTCTATACTTTTGCCATATAATTAATATATTATGTTATTTTATAAATCATGTTATTTTTAATTTCTTAAAATTATTAAAATTTATCGGCATCTGATGATTTTTTTTTTATTATTGAAAAATAACCTTTAGAAAAATAAATAATTATATCAAATAATTCATATTAAGGTTAATACTATCACATGTAAACATCCTTTCTATACCATATAACAAATTTGGAAAAATGATATTATAAATTGCTTGAGGTCAAAAAGATCTTTCCTTGCATTAATGCAACACTTGTTATTAATTAGTTAACAAAAATTTTGGTGTAAGAACTGGAACAGAAAAACGCTCTTATATGGAGTCTAGGATTTGATATTAAATGATAAAACTCAAAGTAATTCCCTGTTATTATAAAAATGATATTATTTTTTGTATAAATTAGTATAATCAATATACACCGATTATATTTTTAGTTATCTTATTTGGTGTCTCGTATTTTATTTTCACCATATTTTGTACCTATTTGCCTCATATTATATTCAACATATTGGTATTTGTAAAGAAAAATACCTTCTTTATACTTGTTATTAAAAATGCTTTAACTTGTTTATCATATCTTATTTATAAATATCAGAGAATTATTATCACATATTATTCTTTTCGTGTTTGATTAATAACTTAAATGGAATAAATAACCTAAGAAATGACGCTTAATCTGCTCGAGGGCCAACACGTTACCAGGCATGCTCACCCCCCCCCCCATTTTTCATGACATAGTGGTTTGAATAAAAACCTGTGTTGATTAAATGCTTATAAATTTTTTAAACTTTAAAATTTGGCGCGAGTAAAAATCCTCTTGTCAATTGGTTCAAATAGGTCCCGTGACAAGATATAATCTTATCGAGGTCGTTGGAATTGCCGTTTAATTCTTTGATGAAGGTGTGCCAAGAGCATTCCATCACCTTTAGTTGTAATTTTTTTTATATTAAATTAAAGGTAAGGAAATGTTCCTAAAAACGAACAATGAGGAAAATTATTTTATCCTGTCCAAATAACTGTTTATAGATTATGTTTCTTATATTGTTTAACCCGAATTAGTATTCTTTTTGTAAGTAATTGCGGTCTGTTTTAGTTGTGGTTAACAATTTAACATGATTTTGAGAAGAAAAAAAATGTGATAAATATATACCAGTTTTTATTCAACTAGGGTAAACAATACCAATAAAGTTTTTTAAATGGAAAAAGGATATCATTAAAAAATTCTAAAAATTAGACAAAAGAGGCAAATAAAGTTTTCTTTTAATGGGGTAAAATAAGTATATAAAATGGGGTAAAAGGATATGAATAATGATTTTTTACAAAATGGGGTAAAATATTTGATTGTACTATAAAATATTTTTAGTTTATCGATTTTAGATGATGCTTAGCGAAGAAACTCGAAGTTAGCTGTGATTCATAAGGAATATTGTAGGCACAATTTAAGCATGTTTTCGCATTTCTTTAGTTCTATATCATTTTTTTTCTTTCTTTTATCTTCTTTCAATTTTTGCCATCAATCATTGGTGGTTTATATGATGTTCTTCGCAATTTATTCTTTTTTATATATAGCTTAGAATTCTGCAGGCCTCGTAGTTCAATTCCTGCCATTTATAATATGTACATCGCTGCAGTCTTTGGGCAACTAAAAATCGGGGCTGGGACCAGATCGACATTAAAGTTTTCGGCCATTGGGACTCGGGCCGAGAAAACCCGATTTGCAGGGACTCTAATATAATGAAGCCTATATATAAAAAGTCATCTCATAAATGAAAGAATTGGAGCTAACATTAACCCTTCAGTAACTCATACTAAAAAATGGCGGAAATATTCATGTTGGGTCAGACCCAAGTCCCTTAAAAAATGGCTTATATTTTAAAAACAAAAAAAATTTTGGATATATATTCAGAGATAAATTTAATAAAGCTACTGAAGATTTGAGTTCATAGAAAAAACATTTCAAGTAATATTAATTTTAACATGCCTAAAGTCCCAAAGACCCTTGGAGAGTACAGAAGGGTAAAGGGAACAGCTAGGTCTCAGCCTAAGTGATAAATCTATGTTATGACAATGTAGTGTAGACAAATAAATAGGAACAAGTATGCAAAAATTTCAGAGGTGGTTAAAAAGATTTTTTTTAAGATATTATATTACCTCGAAATTGAAATAATACTGAATCTGTTGGATGAAATGCGACATGGTAGCTACCATTATGTGGCAAGAATGAAATAGTGATCCGATTTCTATAAAAATGGATATATTATGTGTTTGTATAAAAAATTACTTTTGGAATAAATTTGTTCGAGATAGTCCATCTTATTGCTACCGTTAAATCGCCCCCTCGATTTAAATAAGAAGTTGGGGTAATTTTTCTGACGCTTCCAGCATTTAAGGAGGGTATGACACAGCCATTTAGTACGCCAAATCACCAAGAAAAGGGCTTGATAATTGTGAAGATGAGCTTTCGTTAAAACCTTTTTTTCGAGGGCAAAAAGTAATCAACTAAGTTTTATTTTTTTTTCTATGCCTACACTCTGGCCATTTAATTTATTTAATTTATTATAATTTTATACTATTTTTAACATCCTTTTGTAAAATATACCAAGTTTAGAGAGATCCAGTGCCAGACTCGGATTTTCCATATTTGGATCGGACGAATTATTATTATATTTAATATATTTATTTAAAAAAAATGAAGATATAATAAATAAATTACAAAATTTTTTTAAATATTCTTTTGTTTAAAAATTTATGTGTAAAATTAATAAACAAAGTTTTCACAAAGCATATTACTATTTTTTTGATTTATATTTATGGATCATATGATATAATACATAAAATTTGTAAGTCGAGCAAAGCTAATTCATGCAGGGGAGGAGGGGGCTTAAGTATAATTGGCACTAATGAAATGTGGAAAAATTTGCAAAAACGTGATTTTTAAAAAAATTAATAAAATATTGAATAATGTCGATGAATTATATTTATTCCACTGTTGAAGATATACTAAAAAATTTGAATATTTTTTTTATTGAATTAAAATTATATTCTGCGTATAAGAGAGCTATCCAAGGAACCCGTTAACATTTTTTTTAAATATTAATGTTTTATTTCACTTTTTAATAATTTGCATTTTATATATTGTTTTGATTTTGAATAATTTTAAAAATAATAAAGAATAAAAAATTTTAAAAAGACTAAATAATAAAGATTAAAATGACATCATCAATAGTAAAATTCTATAACAAATATTTATTTATTAAAATACAAAAAAAATTACCACTGATAAAGGACCTTCTTCTATAACGTACTTGAGACAAAACATTTCCCAGATTGGAACCTTGTTATTATCTTTTTTAGGCTTCATAAAAATGATATAAAAAATATTATCACAAAATTCAGAAAAGAGAAATGAGTTAATTTTGACTCTAGAGCTGTACCGATCCAATATTTTCCAATATTAAAAAAACCAATCTGGTTCCGATATTTATATTGATTTTTATTTACTATCTATCTTTGAACTAGGCCAATTAAAAAAAAATTATAATATTCGATTCGAATTATTACCGAATACGAATAATAAATTATTTGTTTTATGATCGGATCGGTCCCGATATTTGGTGTTTTTCAAAAATATCGGATCGGCCCGATACCTGTAAAAAACCCGATCCGATCCTTTTACTAAAAATGCAATTCTTATAAAACTTTTGAGTAATGAAACTTTGAATTATTATTTTTTAATAAAAAAATTTTTTTTTAAATATTTTAAAAAAAAATAAATTTTTTCGAGTTTCTATTTTACATTAATAATATTTTATAAATAATTTTTTTTTAAACAATGCAAATGTTATTTATTTTTTTAAATAGATTTTACAAGTTTTTTTATAAAAATAGAAAGGAACACCCAAAGTTTTATTTATTTTTAATTTTTTAAAAAAATAACACCAATTTTATTATTTATACTTTAAATAAAAATTATTTTAAATATGGTTTCTGAATTATGGAAATATTTTGATAAAGATGAAGGTAATTTTGCAAAATGCGTCATCTGCGGAATTCTAATTTCACGGGGAGGAATACTGAAAAATTCGTTCAATACAACTAACATTAGGAAACATCTGAAGCGTTGCCATCAAAAGGAATTCGAAGAGCTAACACAAAAAGAACGAGAAATATTAGAAAAAACAAATCAAATTTTTAAAAAAAGAGCCCTGAAAGTCAGCCAACAATATCAGCCATTCTTAATAAAACTAATATTTGGAAACATTCTGATCCTAAATCAATAATAATTTCTAAATTTATAGGGGAAATGATAGCGTGTGACCACCAGCCGATTTCTATCTTGGAGGATATAGGCTTTAAAAGGCTTTTACATCATTTATGTTCAAATTACAAAATTCCCAATAGAAAGTATTTTTCGCAAGGAGTTATTCCGGATATATATGAAAAACTCTCCGAAAAAATTCGTAAAGAAATTTTGGTTGACGATTCTTTTTTATCCTTTACGGTAGATATATGGACTAGAAATTCAGGTGGCGATTCTCACATCTCATTAACATGCCACTATATAAACCAAAATTTTCAACAAATTAATAGAGTTCTAAATGTTAAAACATTTAATGAGTCGCATACAGCAATAAATATTGCTCATAATTTTGTGCACATATAAAATGTACCTAATATATTAAAGGCTAGGTTAGATAAGTTCTATCTAGTCAATCAAAGCGTCATTCACTATGCTATATTATAATTTTAATATCCTCAAGTAAAACTCGTTTGGCACCAAAAAAATGATACTAAATAATAGATTTTTATTTTTTATATTAAAAATTCCCAGTTTAAAAGTCAAAACATTTAAAAAATTATATACAATATATAAGAAAAAACATTTTTAAAAAAATAATATCAAATAATTATATTTAAGGAATCGTTATTTTTAAAGGCTTTTAAACAAAGAATTTCGTTATATTAAAATATATAATAAAATGACATAAAATAATAAACACAATATTTCTATCCCTTAAAAATAAACTACCAATCTTGGTTAAGAATATATTTATATCAAATATTATAAACCCGATAAATCCTTAAAAATTAAAAGGTAATATATTTATATTTTACTTTAGAGGCAACAACAGTTATGCGATTCAGAATATCGGAACTTTCGTATTTAGAATTACTATTTTTAATGGCATCCTCAAGAATTTGTGCCATTTTGTGACCGAAAAATGTGTGCTTCAAATCGTGGCCTTGATCTTAAAAAATAGGAAAAAATACAAACAAAACTTTTAATATTTTCTAAAACATTTTTTTTACAATACTTGCATCTCTATCTACACCTTGCAAGCTTTCCAGCCCGGTGACCAGCTGACTAGTAAAATCCCCTCTGGCTAACATCACGTGATCCCGGATGGCAGCGATGTGACTTACTAATCGAAGACGAGACATCACATGATTTACCAAGTCGCGAGAATTATTTTCGTAGCAGTGGGACAACAAGTTTATAAAAGGACGAGATAAAGCTTCATTTATAACATCAAAAAATACAATGGCAAAAATAATGACATTTTACATAATTTATTCCTATTTTAAAATTTAAGATTTAAAATCAGAGACCTGCAGGCTCGGCCCTAAGCCCGGGTACCAGGGCTGGGAATTTTTTTAATATAAATTTATACAACATGAATTATTATATTCGTCAATTAGATATGGTTATAGTTAGTGTTGTTAAACGGCTCGTTTTGAGCCGATTTTTAAAAACGACATACTCAAAATTTTAGCCAGAAAAATAATGCCTAAACCCAGAGATTTCGATAATACATGTATAGACCTTTGTTCCTTCAATGAGCAAAATCTTCAGGCTTGCGTAATATTTTTCTGGATGAAGTATTGAGTTAGCCGTTTTTAAAAATCGGCTCATAACGAGCCATTTAACAACACTAGTTATAGTGATTATATATAGTTATGATTAATATAATGTTGGGTGAAAGTTAACACTAGCTAACATAGTATCAATTACATAATATAATTATAGTTTTCCTGCCATGGAATAAATATGCAAAGGATTAAATAAATTATTATATAATATATGTTATATTTTTTATTAATTAAAATATCATTTTTTTTATAAATACAATTAATATAGTATATTTTCAAAATATTATTTACACAAATTTTTTATAGTATCAATTTGTAATATACTAAATATCTGTTTAGAATAAAAAAAATAAAATGGCTCGTTTTGAGCCGATTTTAAAAAACGGCTAACTCAGTTTTTTATCCAGAAAAATAAAATATTATGCAAGCCTGAAAATTTTGCTCATAGAAGGAGCAAAGGTCTAGACATATAGTATCGAAATTTCGAGGCTTAGTCAATACTTTTCTGGCGAAAATATTGTGTTAGCTTTTTAAAAATCGGCTCAGAACGAGCCGTTTAACAACATTAGCTAATATGCTTGCTTATTAAATTATAATATTCGCCAAAAAATATGATAAAATACCAAATAGATGAATTTTTTGAATATACCAGGTCGAATATACTTTTAAAAAATTCCGAGCCGGACCTAAAAAAATTTTTTTTTAAAAATCCAGGCCGGGCCTCAAAAAATTTTAGAAAAAAAAATCTGGGCTGGGCTGAAAATTTTTTAATCCGGGCCGGGCCATACAAATCTGTTTAAAATTAAATAATATATAGTAATAATTCACATTATTTAAAACTACAAATTTAAAGTTTGATAATATCCTTTGTAATAAATTTCATATTTGTTACTTTGCATAGGAATGGAGGTGGGAGGGGGGGGGGGCTTTATTATTTATTTTAAATTAAAATTCTAATGAGTTATTGTAAAAAATTGTAAGTAAACAAAGAATATATTTAAAGTTTTTAGAAATCCTAAAGATTATAAAGCAATTTAAATCTTAGGTATGTATTAGTTTTTGAAAAGAGCCTATTATATTATATGAATGTTTAATTCGTTTGCTTCTTTTTTAAAAAAAATATGAACTTAAACTCAAAAGATTGAAATTTAAAATTACCCCCCAACTCCGTATCCAAGAAATTGTATCTGGTGAATGCGTTTTGGTCGTTAACCTGAGACTTAAAAATATGGTGAAAATAGGGGGAGAGATTGGAAATATGTGAAGAATGGTAGGGAATATCGGAAAAATTGTCCACTTGGAAGTAAAGTTTATTGAGTAGATTTTCTTGGGGCGTTTCATTATTCTTCTCTCGTTTAACCTTACAAACTTCTTTCAGAAAATATAGGGATTTGCCGGCAGAGAACATCTAAATATATTCAATATTATTAAATATTTTTGATTGCTAAAAATGAAACGAAATTATTGGATAATGAAAAAAAAAAATTTGAAATATGAGAATAAAAGATAATTTATTAGTAGTATTACCAAAATTATCTGTTTGAGAGTGGTATTCCCAAAAATTATCTACTTGAGATAGTCCTTTTTTAATTTCTTTCTTTCTTATTTCTCTCTCTCTTTCCAATTATATTGGGATATAGTAGTATATTAAAAAATCATAGGATAATAACTTTGTAAATTTGATCGTTGGAAATTAACTTGGGTAGCATAGTATAATTGATCACGTATTTTTGATTCCAGGCGTCTTGTTTCATCAAATCCATACTTTCGTCTATAGGAAACTAATAATCACCATTTTTTTAAATATATAGGCTTTTACCTCGTAAAAATACTTTTAATTTAATGTATACATTTAGAAATATTAATTAAGAAAGGCACGTCCGTTATAATTAGGCTGCAATTTTATATGCGATTTTGCGCCTTAATAACAAAATCAGTTGATCAAATTTATAATAGAAATGTTAGATAGTGTCATACATTTGTTTCATAAAAATCAGAGCTTGATACGGGCATTAGCTATAAAAATCAAAAATAAATATAATATATTTTAAAAAATCCGGGCCGTACCTGAAAATTTTTTTTTAAAAAGCCGCGGGCCTGAAAATTTTTTTTGTTCTCGTTCAGTGAAATATCTTGGAACCCGGTTTAGATTTTGTCATTTAGAAAAATAAGGACTTTTAAAATTTGGTAAAAATAACAGAAATATTAGTTTTTTTTAAATTTATTTTACTATATTTATCATTTATACCATAAAAATAATTTTATCATTATAATTAGAATAAAATACAAATTAAAAATTAGTATTCTATTTGTTTAAAATTTATAAGAGAATTATAATATCTTCCAAAATAATTGTTTAAATTAAAAGATTTTATGCCTAACTTTGACAGTACATTGCAAATTTATGTACTCAACATTGGTATTTGAATATAATTGCTTAAATTAAAACAAGCTTTTCTAAACGATTCTTAAGTTTGGAATACACTCCATTTGATGAAAATACCAGGGATGTGAACCCGAACCCCTTTAAAAAGTGGAGGATCCAAGGGTTCAGGGTGCTTAAAATTTTTAACTTAAAATTATTTTTTTTAAATTAATGTAAAAATATAATTTTTAAAAAATAATATAAAATTTTTATAATTTTATTAATTTTTAAAAAAATAATATAAAATTTTTCTAAGTAAAATGTTTATAATTTTTTTCGTGGAATCTCCCTAAAAAATAGTCACTTTAAAACTATAATTGATAAAGCAAGGGATGTTGTAAAATATTTAAGAACTCCCACAATTGCTAGAATATTAAAATCCATGAAAAGGTAAATGGCAATTTTAGATTGCACAACACGTTGGTCCTCTATATGTATGATGCTAGAGCGATTATTAAGTTTGAAAGATTTCTGTAATAATTTTATCATAGGAGCATGTGAAATCATTTTGTCAGAAGATGATTGGAATCAAGTAAAAGAGCTTACTAGTGTGCTGGTTCCTTTAAAAATAACAACATTAAGAGTGCAAGCAGAACAATTGTGTTTATCGGATTTTTATGGCATATGGTTAAGATGTCGATTAGAGTTAGGGAGATTAACAAGTTCTTTTTCAAATGAAGTATTAGAAAATACGAAAATAAGAGAGCAACAATATTTACAAAATAGTGTTGTATATGCTTCTATATATTTAGACCCGCGATATCAGGTTTTATTAAGTAGTGAGCAAAAACAAATGGCTATAGACCATCTTGAAGATTTATGGCATACCCAAAACTCTATTATTTACAATACATTGGTGGTTACAACAATATCTACTGGTTGTAGCGATAACAATGATAATGATAACGATATTGATGATCTGGAAATTTTACTATTAGATAGAGAAAAAAAAATTAAATTATCATCTGATAGAAAGGAGCAAAAAATATCTATTGTATTTTTAATAGAAAAGTTCTCGGAAGTTATGAGAATAAATAGAGATGCAAACATTTTAAAATTCTGGGAGGAAAATTCTTCAATATATCCAAAATTATATACCTTTTATAGAATCGTCATGGCTGTACCGGCGACACAAGTACAATAATTTATGTATAATAAAAATGACTATCTATTTTAGGTAAGTGTAGAATGTGGATTTTCATCGTTGACTAATTTACGTGGAAATCTGAAGGATGATATTTTAGAAGATTTCATGATTGTGCGAATATTTAAAATATAAATTATCTCATTTCGAATTATAAATGTGTATATATTGAAGTATAATAAAAAATGAATGAAAAAAAGTCTTATTTTGAGTCATTATTTTTATGTTTCCTCTGAACCCGGACCCGAACCCTGGACCCGGGTCCTTTTAAATTTATTACCGGACCCTTTTTTTTGTCGAAGGGTTCACATCCCTGGAAAATACTCCCTACCGAAGCTGTTGATTGTTTTGCTAGGAATTAAATGGTCAGGCTACATTCATATTTTTATTATTTCATCTGAAAACATAATTTTATTAAACGATGTTGATTTTCAGAATGGTGGGTTATAAAAACAATCATATAATAATATTTAAAAACCAATCTAATTTAGATATGACTAATATTTTTTTAAATTTTATCAGGTAACCAAACATATTAAAAATGATTAGATTGCAATTGGTGTAATATTTTGTTATAAACAATTGATTTATCCTCAGGAAAAAGGTTAATTAAACCATATTTATCATAATATAAATTAAAAACTAGTCGCTATCAGAAAATTAAATTAAGAGTATTAAGAAATATTTTAATTTGCCTAATGCACACCCAATTGGGAAATAAGAGTGGCTAAAATAAAAAATAATAAAGCCACCATTACTTTATTAGTCAAAAAAAATAAAATTTTAAATTTGGTTTAACAGTTTTATTTGAGTAAAAAATGACTTTCTGACTCACTGATATTGACTAGTTAAATTTTTTTAAACCGTTTGCCCAAAATAACAAATTTTTGATTGACAGTCGGCAATTCATTCGACAAAAATCAAATAAGCTCATGACTTATCAATATATATTTTTTCAATAATTTCCTGAACGGATCCACTAAGCATTAACCTTTTTACTTACAAAGAAATATTATACTAAGGTAAAAAAAATTATGATGTATATTTTTCAATCCAAATCTGTAAATTCTCCTAATGATATATTAGTATTTGGTTTAAATCGCGATTTAGATCAAAAAAATCGATAAATCACAAATTTTGCCATACCAAATAGATATTGTTTAAATATATATTTGTTAATACACTTATATTTGAATCAAATATTTATACGACATTCATACGTAATATTAAAGTGTCATTCTTGAGTAAAATTGTACTCGTAAGGATACAATAAAGCTGCGTTTAATTTTCTCTTCGCATCAAGTTAGAAATTTCTGCAAGAGATTGAGTTTGGGATTATATTTTCATAGAGTACAACGGACATTTTTAGCGACTGTGTAGTGTGTGCTATGTCGCCAAGAGGCTAGATTAAAGGATGGGGGGGGATAAATTATAATGCATTTTTTTATGTTTGATGGATTGCAGAAATGATTACATTTCTTATATGCTTAACGAGTTTAAGAAGAACTGACACCGCCATTTTGGCCAATATCGAAAGTTCTACCACCAACATGATATTGGCTCGGCGATTATATGTTTGATAAAATAGGCATCTATGGTTGCGAATTCTCATTTTTATGCCTAATCTTTGGTCTTTCGAACTAGAACTTTTTATTCATTCTATATATAAGTATAGGATAAAGTTAGTTTTTAAAAAAATATAATTTAATATTTGATTGTATGTTCTAGTTTTAAAATACCATTCCCTTTTGGGATTTGGATAGCCTACATGTAATTATATTTGAATTATTTCAACTTTCCAGTGATTTAATTAGTATTAGTTGGAAGCCTGTTAAAAATTGAGTTATCATTTTTCCCGTTTTTCCATACCAGTGCATTTGGTGTTTTTTTTATATTACTCGCTTTCATTGTTATATTAACTTCTTTAAATTAACTGTACATTCGATAGAAAAAAAAACTAGGTCTGTGGAATGAAATGGATATAGATTAATATTTTAATCTCGTGGGATATATTGATATCCGAATTAACTGAGTATACAATTATGATTTTTGGCAACATTTAAGTTGAGTCATAAATTTGGTGGCTAGATAATATGGAAAAACTTAAGATAATGAGTTTATCCATATTATCTCGAACTCATTACAAAATAAACCAGTCTTTATGGACCAAACATAAACATGTGTCTAAAAAATAGCTATTACTATAACTACAAAATAGAGCACAATATACTTATATGTGTATTAGGTGAAATTCTTAAGAGTCCATAAAAGGGCATCTCTCATATAATATATTTTTTAATAAACCTCTCTAAACCTATCAACCAATTTTCCCTTTGTTATCCAATTGCAAAGGCATTCGGCTAACGGCTGAGAACATTTGTCTAAGAGTGAATTAGCCGTAGCACCAGTTCCCTTAATATCGCCTTGAAAAGTAAATTCCTTCAAAACATCGAGTATTTGGCAACCTTTTTTACCTAGAAATATACTTTTTATAAATCTAAAATTTAAATTTTTTTGAGAGACTACAAATTAAAATTTTTGTGATATTTCTCCTATCTTTAAATTAATTCAATCTATATTATGCTCAAACCTTTACAATTCATAATGATGGCCATCAAAAATTGCAGCCTATGTTTCATGTCCGTACACATGACCCATAATCTTTGAACAGTTATCAATGGATCCGTTATAGTTGAATTTTGGGGTAAATCAGTAGCGATTTCCTTATTCCTCTCTTTCGTTGAATCTGTTAGAAATTTCTGCGAATCTTTATCTACCTATATTTAAATTATAATATTATTTATAAAAAAAATTATACATTATATTTAAAAAAGTGACTGTTTGTCAAGCTTTTAATTTTAAAAACAAATCCTTCTAAATTGCATAGTTCCTTCTTTTCTTTCTCCTGATCGAATTCACGAGAACTTTATCCCATGTATTTATATCATTAAATGGTATATATATAACTATTCTTACTTATAATTAAAATTAATCCAAAAAAAATATTTAAGTAAATATTTCTTAATTACGGCTTCCTTGATAACCGATATGAGTTTGTAGTAATGGATTAGTTCATCTTTAAGGCTGGAGGATAGAACCTTTTATATAGAAGAAATCAAATTTTTCATTAATACTATTACTTTTTTTTATACTTTTTGTTTATTTATATTCATCTTCTTTTTTTCTTTACTTCTCTCCATATTTTATTCCCTTCTTTCTTTCTTTTTTCATTCAGCTTAAAAAGGCTTGATTTTCCTTTAAAAACGCATAACAATTTAATCAAGTATAATGAGCCATTCCTTAACTCATTCCAAATGTTGAGCAACCACGATAAATAGAGATAAAGCATTAAGTCACCTCTATAAAAAAATATTATTTTCTCCCATTTAAATAAATTTAAATCTCATCTACCCTCTATAAAAAAAATAACCCCCAAAAAGCCTGGCATAAGGGTTTTAAATTTAAAAAAGACAAAAAATACTATTAAGTGGGATCAATTGGTGTGGAGCAAAATAAAGCTAAATATAAAGAAAACTTAACAATGTGCTCAACTAACATATTTTTTGTTTAAGTAAAACATTGTAACTTGCAAAATCAGTCCTTTTTCTAACACGTTATTTTCATTTATAAAGTTTTGTATTTTGAAGTATAACCAACCACATTCGGCAATCTTTTTGACTTGTTCGAGAGTGGCAGGGTGAAGGAGAAAAAACTTAATACATTATTATATAATATCAATAAAATATCTATAAATAAAATAGCTGATAAAAGCAGTGACGTTACTAGTCTTTTCAACTTGGGGATAGAACCCATATTTTTTTAATTTGGAAGGTTATTCAAATGTTTCTAGGGCTCAAGTGGCCTTGGACCATCCCCTTTTTTAACGATGCCATTATTTAAGAAAGTAAATATTAAAAGATTGAGTGTAATGAGGAAAAATTTAAAAGATTAAAACAAATATTTTTTTAAAAAAGGTATATACAGTATTTCCATGTTTCGTGTCTGGGTTATCAACTATTTCTATATTCCATTCCAATGGTTTGCCCCGTATTTTAATATGTTGTCCATCAATGTCAATCATAACATACATCAAGTCTTTAAGCAAGAGAGATTCCACAAAATGCAATACTAGAAATGAATCTGAACATCCCTTCTCATCTAAACAATTAAATATTTTTTATATATTCAAAAATAAATAAAACAATTTTTTTACATTTTTATATTTTTTTACAAAATAAAATATATAATTTTTTTAATAAAAACTTGTGGTATTTTGATGCAATTATTGAGCAAAAGAATGAGCATATATAATTAATAAGTATATAGGAATATTCTTATATATAAAGATTAGCATTTCCCCTGATCTATATCAAGATTAACTCTTATCTTTGTGGCATAGCCCTAAGCTAACCACTAAGGTGGTACATATGAATGGAATCAGGTTTAAGCCTGAACCGCATAGTTAGGAAAAAACTAACAAAAACTTATTGGCCTCACCCTATCTATTAGATTTTACCTAATGCAGTGGGTTTATTAATTTAACATAATGTTGTGAAGAACGCCATTCGTTAGCTTTATCTAAAGGTAACTGTGATGAAATCAATTTTTAATAAATTTAACAACTTTTTACCTTTTGTACCACAGTATATATATATTTTACAAAACAAACAATTAATCGTTGTACACAATTAATAATATATATTTTTTAAATTCATCATATATTTAATTGTCTTTGAGGCTAATTGTTTCTATTATATCTATTCTCTCCTTTGGGCTCTCGATTTGAAACGGTATAAATTGTTTTCTTATCCGTTTTGGATAACGGCTGCTTGTACTTTCGTTCTCTACCACCGTTTGCTCATTACTGTTGATTTTCATCTTATCATTTATGAGGGTGTCTTTGTTTATTGAGTCTTGTATTGGGTCCATGTCTTTGGTCACCAATTCGTTATTTGTGGTGTAGTTTGAATCGTTTCTTCTTCTCTTCCCTCCTCTCTATTTTTTAAATCGGAGTTGTCGAACCTATGTTTTAACTGATTAATATGTTTTCTCCATACCCCTAATTTAGTTTCAACTAAAAACGTCATTGGTCCTGTTCTTTTAACGATGATACCTGGTATCCAATTATCTTTTTTAAAATCTTTTGCATATATTTTTTCATTTATATTAAAAAAAACCTGGTAACTGAGGTATATATGGATGAGGATAAATTGGTTTTATTAATTGTAAAGGTCCTATGGGTTGAAATTTGAGCATAATTGAACTTGGTGATTGTTTTGTGGTTATGTGGCGTATTTCGATAATTAAACAAAAAATCTTGTATTTTATTATAATCATTATGTTTTTTTTAAAAAATTTTAAAAGTTTGTACTAATCACTCCGCTTCTCCTTTGGTTCATGGGTGGTATGGGACACTATATACATTTTTAATTGATAATTGTTTGCAAAATAAACTAAATTCTCTACTTTGAAATGGGGGTCCATTATCCGTAACAATCGTATTGGGGTAACCGAAAATAGCAAAAAGTCTTAACAACAATTTTCTTACTTCAGTAAATATATTCATCGTCATTTTTTGTATTTCAGGCCATTTACTAAAACTATCTATTATTACTAGATATATATCTCCGTTAATTGGTCCGGCAAAATCTAAATGAATTCTTCCCCATGGTTTATTTGCGGAGGGCCATTTCCCTATGATCGTTTTATTGCCAGGATTATTTGTTTGACATAATTCACAATTCTTACCGTGTAATTCGATATCTTCGTTAATATTCGGCCACCAAACGTTCTCTTGTGCCAATAATTTTGTTTTAGTATAACCCTGATGCCCCATATGTAAAAAAGACAAAATATTTACTTGTAATTTTTTTGGAATTATGGTTCTTAATCCCCATAATATACACCCTGCCTCCATCGTGAGTTCATTTCGGCGCTGGAAAAACGGTTTTAGATTTTCCTCTATTATCTTTGGCCATCCAGTTGTAAGGTAACGTGAAACTTTTGATAATACCGGGTCATTTCTTGTGTGTGCTTTTATATCTAACGCTGAAATAAATTGTGGAGCATCCGATACTATTAAATTAATATCTAACTCTTCCCAAGCAGATGGTTTACCGTCAATTGGAAACCGGAAAAGCATATCCGCATTACTATTTTTTTTTCGTCCCTCGAAGTTGCAATTCATAATCATAATTTGCTAGTAGTAATAACCATCTTACTAATCTTGATGACATATCTGTTATTCTTTTATGTGGATTAAGTAACGATATTAGGGGTTTATGGCCAGTAATGATAATGAAATGTCTGCCAATTAAATATTGTTTAAATTTAATTAATCCAAATATAATTGCTAAAGCCTCACGCTCTATCTGACTGTAATTTCGTTCGGCAGCATTTAATGTTCGAGACGCGTATCCAATCGGTTTTTCTGTTAATGATATGAGATATAACTGATCCTATTCCATGTTGAGACGCATCAGCAACTAGAATTATCGGTCGGTTTTTCCGGATTATAATGTGTTAAAATTGGTGCTTCTGATATTAATTTTTGAAATTTATTAATCACCATTGTTTCATTATTTTTCCATTTCCATGGCACATCTGTCCTTAAAAGCCTATATAATGGAGCAACAATAGTCGAAAAATTGTTTATAAATTTTTGATAATAATTTATTATACCGATAAAAGCTTGTAATTCTTTGACGTTTTTTGGTAATGGTGCGTCTAAAATTGCATTGACATTCTTATTTGTTGTCGTAATTCCCTCTTCGCTAACGGTATGACCTAAGAATTCAATCTTTTCTTTTAAAAAATCACATTTTTTTAGATTTAATTTCATACCGTTTATTTTTAACGTCTTTAATACATTTATCAAATTTTTCTTATGACTCTCAATTGATTCCCCCGTAATTATTATATCGTCCAAATATACCGCTACTCCAGGTAATCCCTTTAATAATGAATCCATTGCTTGTTGAAAAATCGCTGGCACTGAGGTTACCCCAAACGGAAGTCGTGTGAAACGATACAATCCACTAGGCGTGTTGATTACTAACAGCTTTTTTGCCTCCTCATCTAGCTCTATTTGAAAATACGCTTCGGATAAATCTAATACTGTATATTTACACCCATTATCTAGTGTGGCTAATAATGGGTAAAGGATATTTATCTATCAAAATATTTGCATTAACAGTTTGTCTGAAATCACCGCAAATTCGTAAAGATCCATCTTTCTTCAATACGGGTACAATAGAAGAAGCGATATTCGAGTATTTTAGTCTTTCTAAAACTCCCATGGATTCCAGTCGTTGTAATTCCGTTTCCAGTTTTGCCTTCCGCGCAAATGGTATCGGTCTACTTTTCATACCTTGAAACTGTGGGTTGGATTTTACCGCTAAACTGGCCTTAAAACCTCTTAGTAAACCTAATTTTTTAGTGAACAATAAGGAAAATTTATGTACAATATTATCCTCCCAAACCTCATTAACTATATTACATTGATTTATTTTTATTAATTTTAATTTGTTTATTAAATTTCTACCTATCAAGTTAATCCCATTGTTTACAATAATAAATTCATGATATATAACTTTATTCATATAATTAACGGGTAATATACACTTACCTTTATTAATCATTACATTATTATAAGATTTTAAAATAATATCCGTTTTTGTTACTGGTATTTTTAAACGGTAAACGTCTTCTATATTCAAAATGGAGACTGCCGATCCTGTGTCAATTAAAAATTTAATATAAATTTTATCTATCAATAATTTCACCTCAAATTTTTCTCGAGACTCCTCTGGAAATTCCCAATCCTCAAAACTTTCTCCCTCATTTTCAGGAACATCTATCTTTCGAATATATTCTTTCTTCCCACGATTCCTTCTGCATACTTTTTGTAAATGTCCTTTTATCCCACAATTATGGCAGATGGCATTCAAATTAGAGCACTTCGGTTTTATGTGATCTCCTAATCCACAACAATAGCAAATAATTTTTGATACTGATTTGTACTTGTCATACTGCTCCCTTGTTACTGTTTTTGAGATTTTATTTATCTCCTTCCCTGCAGATAATTTTTCATACGACATCATTTCTGTAGTCTCCATTGCGGTCGCGATTTGTATTGCACTTTCCCATGTCAAGTCCTGCGTGTTAATTAATTTCATTAATATTTTTCCATTAATTCCTGACACTAATTTGTCCCGCAATACTGTATTATACATATCTTTAAATTCACACGTCTTTGCCTTTATCTTTAATTTATTAATATACTCTACGATGGTTTCATCTTTTTCTTGTTCCATTTTAAAGAAATAATATCTTTCTAATATGAAGTTGGTCTTCTTCATATAATAATTTTTTAAAAGTTTAATTATGTCATCATATGATATTTCCTCTAATGTCTTTGGCAAACACAAATTAAATAATTTAGAATAAACCTCTAATCCAATATTCGCTAATAAAAATGATTTTTTATCTTCTATTTTTGCGATTTTAAATATGAATTCCATTTTTGATAAATAAACTTCCATATTGCACTCCTTTATATTATATTTCTCCATTTGAAACGACTGCGCCATTGTGATGAAATCAATTTTTATTATAAATTTAACAACTTTTTACCTTTTGTACCACAGTATATATATTTTACAAAACAAACAATTAATCGTCGTACACAATTAATAATATATATATTTTAAATTCATCATATATTTAATTGCCTTTGAGGCTAATTGTTTCTATTACAGTAACGAGTAACGGTAACGCGTTTCTTTTTTCGAATAACGGTAGCGCAAAACGTTACTTTACTCGTTACTTTTTATTTTTTCTTAAAAAATATCAATAAAAAGAAAAACATATTTTATTGTATTATAAAATTACTTTTATTTATTTTTTTATTCTTAATATTAATATTAATAATTTAAGCCGAGTTTAAATTCATATCAACCACTTCAAACATTTTTTTAAAATTCTCGTTGTTAAATTATCAGTCGAAATTAATATTCAATCAAAATTCAAAAAGTAAATATAATATTATTAATTAATTTATAATTTATTTTAAAAGAATATTATGTCCATAGTACTTACTTCTTCAGATGAAGAAGATTTAACCCTTCTCTGGCCCCAATTTGAATTATATTTTAAAC